AGTAGGTAGATAGTGTGATAAATAACGTGGTAGAGCCATGCTGCAGCATAGTTGTAGAACGAATGAGTCGGCTCGACCGGGGAACGACCACGCTCTCACCGAATGCCAGCGTAAAATAGTAGATTAACACTGCTGTGTTTCGTATGGTGAGTGTAAAGAATCGGAGACCCTTTTTATTGAAAAAGAGGCATTCCATCTTAGTCCTCACGGGTGATAACGCATCTGCATTTTGATTCGCAAACGAGGATAGATGTAGATGTCTATGGGCCACAGCAACCACTTACCATCAGGTGGATTGTGTGCTCGTTTGTCACCCTATCCTATAAAAAATAAAAACTTGCGCTCATATTGCGCCAATGTTTTTAATTTTATACACATATTTTCTAAACGATAAACCATTTCCAAAATGTTTGTCTCCCTGTCTGTATGTCTATGTCTGTCTGTCCTGGCAGAGAACACAATGCTAGGAGTGACCTAGGCAATACCTACATTGCAACATTGCAAAGACCTAGAACATTGCAAGTAAAAACACATGTACATGTTATAAAATATTAAAAAAAATTGGTTTTGAAAAGAAAAGTTAATGAACTGAATCCATAAAAACAAGAGTTTGTTAACGCCAAAACTTTTTAACTAGTTGCTAATTCTTGTGAACCGTTAAGAGCAAACAATTTTGCAATGTTCTCCGCTTTTATCGAAACGACGTCTTAGCACAATTTAAAAAAAAAACAGTAAGGTCACAGACAATGTTGATGAATCGTATCGCACTGCATTAACAAAGTTCCTTACGCGAAAGGAATAATAATTGCATCAGATAGGTACAAACAGAGAACAGTATTGTTAGCTTGCTTTTGCACAGATGTTGACTTACACTATGTAAACTGCTATTAAAGGCGTTTACTATATAAACCCATCTGAATTCAGACTTGTTTATAACTGAATTAAAAATATCTGTAAACATAAAGATAGTAATAACATTAGTCAATGAAAAGTTATAATATCAAGTATTGTCTATAATCTGTAATCATCGTAGACTATTTATTTAATCAATTTTTGATTTCACAAAAATCTCAGTTTTTCGGATACAATATAGCCTAGATCTATCCTAGCATTGTGTTCTTTGCCCGGACAGACACACAGACATACAGACAGGGAGGCAAACATTTTGGAAATGGTTTATGAAGTTAAGTAAAAATAAAAAGTAATGAATAACAAAGTTAAGAAATACGAAGTCACGAAATAATTAAAAAAACTTGTAGCAATAGCTACATAATTATAATTGGTATTTTGTTAGGTTTATACTCAACCTATACCGGTCATATTAAATATTATGCTTATTTCAATCCATCAGTGGAAAATACCAAGCGTCACGTCATGCACGATCCACAACAAAAATGTTTTGGATTATAACAGCGGTCAAATGCACACTTTAAAAATTATAAGTGTGGATTAAAATCACTACTGACTTGTCTGGCAATCTGTTGCTATAGATTTAGTTTCAATGTAGGTACTTGCGTTTGCGTGTTACTACATACGTTTAATATGACAAAGTATAGGATACCTGTACCTGAATTTTTGTTTCGCCGTTTCTTTTCACTCATATCATCATAGGAATCGGCGACGAATATTAAGTATTGTTATTTGTTGTTTTATAAACGAAATTTTTGTCGTATTTTGCTAGTTTTCTGTAGTATATCTTTCTATCACTGTTATTTAACATTATTTACAATTCGTAACAGATTTTAAGATGCTTACTAATATAATTTACTGTTTAAGTTTACGTTGATAACAATCGACTCTGAGTAGTTCCGAGGTACAGTGCGGGCAACGGGCGGTTTTTGACCGCTGCGCCCCGCCAGCACCGACCGGCCCACTTGACTTGTTTTTGTTTTTGCCTGTGGCAGTCACGCCCGCGCAAGGGCGAATCAGGGAACAATTGAGAGAATTGCCTTCGCAATTTTTTTTTGCATATACTTTTGCCAATTGAATTTTATTGTTATTCTTCTTTGTGTCGTTAAGTGCTTTTTGTAGACGTACGAATATTCTTTACACTAAAATCTCTCTCTGGTAAATGAACGAAATTGTTTTAACATGTTTAAAAGGACGACTTAGTTCATTAAAACAAATATATTGAATTAAACTAATTTTACAGATTTTATCGCCTTTAATTTAATTTTTTAATTCCAAAAAATCTATAAAAACACGCGTAAAATAACATATAACTTGCGTGAACATTGATTTATATGCTACACTAGATAAGTACTCGTAATTGCCGCGCCAAATAACTCAATGGGCGTGAAGCATAGATCCTCGGGGAAGTCTGCAGTCTACGAACATGTTTAAGATCGTCCCCGCCATTACATGAATTTTAATACACCACAAATACTCGCAAAAGAAAACCTATTCCTACCAAGGATTTAATTATAACATCGGAAATAAAATCTTACTTATAAATTTCAACTTTAATTATATTCTTAAGGCAAATGCTTTAAAATATTTAAGTAACTGTGAAACTATGATATAGCAATAGTAGAACAATGAATATAGAATGTATGTAGTGTACTGTTCAACAACAAAACTGCACCTGCTTTAAAAAGAAAACAGTTCATTTCGAACGGAACCCGTGACGTAAACGGTACGCAATAGTTGTGTTAGTTGTGCGCTAGCGCTCTTGTATCGATAAACGATTGCGTCGATCATCTGGCGAACGGCAGCGTCACCAAATTAGACGCGAAACTGCGTAGCATCGAACCGCAGATATTTGTGTGACGTACGAACCCCACCTTATGCTTCTATTTTAACGAACCACAGCACAACACGACAAATCGTCAAAACTACTGAAATAGATACGGTCGGAAATACTCCAAGCTATAAATTAAACTTGGCCGGCTTCTACAAACCGCACCTTATAATATGTCATGGTGCTTTGAAATTATCTAATTTTGGATGGCTGCTAAACTTGTACACTAAACGGAAAATATTTGTAGACATATATACAGTATTTGATTTGTATCTTAGTTGTAACGATGTGTCCCAGTGTGCTAGATGCATTGTGTCATCTGACGTAAGAAATACATTTTCGATTGTAATCGCGTTGCTGTGGCGGTATAAGTAAACCAACCACCACCATTATCTTACCAGTCAACAAACACGCAAATGGTGTAACAGATAATGATATAAACATCTGGGTCATCTCTGAGTAATGACGACGATCAGCTTCTAAAACACAAAGCGACTTAAATCTACTACGATCCGCATGTCAAGGAGTTACAACTATAGCAAAGCCTCTTAATTTGGAAAACTCTATGTTTAATACTATAATAAATAAAACAAATTAATAGAAATACTGATGATAAGAACTTAGCGATGCCTGTAAAATAACATATTGTAGCTGACGTGAGCATCGACCCTTTGGAAAGTCTGCGGTCTGCGAACATGTTCAAGATCGTCCCCGCTATTACATCATACTTAATACACCACAAATACTCGCAAAAGGAAACCGCTAAGGATCTAATTAGAACATTAAATTTCGATAAAATAATTCTACTAAGCATGACATAAGCTGATTAACTGCAAGGTAAAAATAGAATAGAAAAGTGTAATTATCCTTTGGTCCAGGTGCCACCCATTACACCCAATACTTATTACTACTTACTCACATTACTTCATCTGTTGAATAACTATAATATATCACTAACAACCTAGGATCTGGAAAATGACAAATAGCATAATCCCCTCCCCCCACCCCCCCCGTCTCCCCATGTAAAATAATAATATATAATACTGAAAAACTGACATGCGAATGATGACATGAATGATGCTATGAAGTCATAAATATCTGAGCAGTAGAAACCGGTTTCAAGAAGATCACGGTGGTATCGGTAAAAATGTATCTCCATTGTGAATGATAATTTTGAATTCAATGAAAAAATTGTTAGAGAGGAGAGTAGAAGCTACGCCACCAAAACCTTATTCCTAATAACATGTTAACTTAATTGGTTTACTTATTGAACTGTCATATGTGTATTACATTTTGCTATCGAACTTGCCAGTTTTTTTAAACTCCACTTTACTGGCAATAAAGCACGTCACATCATAGTAGGTACCCGGGCGTTTCAATACACTTAGGTAATATATATATATATATATATAATATAAATATTGATATAGCTAGTTATTGAGGCACAGTAAATCATCAACAACAGATCAAAACAGTCAAAATTTGGAATTTTCTAACATCTCACAATATTCATTCACTCATAACAAGAAATTTTAAATTTCTTTTAATCCAATTTAGCTTGTTTCAATATCTTATCGTCAGAGAAAATTAAGACGCCGTCCAGGGATGTTCAAAATCACTACGGTCGTATTACAATGAATATTGAAATGTTTCAAATTATACGATACTTTATTCCTAGCCTAGGCCCTAGGCTAACTAGGCTAAAACACGGCGTGTGACGTTGCGACGCGTTTCCCATCAATTTGAGCGCCCGCTACACACCACTGCAATACGACAGCGCGTGTTTGTCATGACGCTACACTAAACGCTCTCTGCTGAGGCCTTACCCTAATCCGTTAAGTTTAAGTTACATTTTGAAGTTTGCCACTCAGGACACTAATAATGTAGTCTGTTTATGTGCATGCATGCCGCACACCCCACACTGTGCAACTAACACCCGTATTCAAGAACCACCCTTATTTAAGTGTACTGGCTCTCACTGCGAAGTGTCCGATTTCTCACAGTGTTGGATATGTCCATCGACTTGTTTCATAGACAACACTTAAGTATTTCTTTACTCAGTGAATGCATAGGGAAGGATTCGGCGTTTTGATTGGACGGTTTCGGGGCTAGCTTCAAGTTATTCAATTTTCAAGCGTCAAATGTCAATTAGTACATAACCTCAATTAATGTGTTGATTTTTGCAAACTGGCTTGTGTTAGATACGATACGCTATTTGAAGTAAAATTTAGCTTAAATACCAAGTAGAATTTTTGTGATAATGGAAATAATATCTCCGGCTAACAGTGCTAAATGGTAACTCAAATATTTTCCCTCAGTAATGTTTATTTTGTGTTAGTTTTTTAATAATTCATTCAACATACATTATTTTAATTTTTAGCTCAAAAAAAATAGCTTTTTCCTCCGCCGAAAAAGAACTAATCATAAGTTTGGTAAGTGAACGTCCCATTATTGAAAACAAACAGACAAATGCCCGAAACATTGAGCTCAAGAGGGCGGCATGGGACGAAATTGAAAATGCCTACAATGCAGTACCTTTTGTGGTCAAGAGAACGGCATTACAGCTAAAGAGATGCTGGGAAAACATAAAAAGTTGTCGTAAGAAGGAGCTGTCAATGGAAGTCGGCAGTTTATTACAGACTGGAGGTGGAGTTGGTGAAGCGGGCACTACAGAAAACGTCATAGACAGTATTTGCCCATACATTAATCTGACTGTACCTGGAGTCATTGACTCAAACACAGAAGAGAAAGTCCTAGGTAAAAGATTTGTTACATAATTATCATAATTAAGGATGAAGCTTTATTTCTTGTTTTGTTTACATCATTACTCTATACAAAGCTTGCATTTTACTTACTATTAAACAGCAGAGTTATATTGTAAATTAGAAATGGAATTTTTTGAAATTTAAGCAACATTATTGTTATTGTTCACAGTAAACCTGAGTTCTGTGGAAATACATGCTCCAGAGAAAATAGATAAGGAAAACCAATATGGTAATATAGTTCTGTAATATTGTCAAAATGTTACTTAAAATAAACATTGAATAGAATGCACAAAAAGATAAACTATATCTGGATATTATTTCAAATATCTTATTTTGTGTACATGCTACTTTATTTTGGGTATTTACTTTTCCTTTTTTGCAGATAATGAGGTCATAGAAAGTTTAAAATTAAGCAAGAGCAAAAGAGGATTATTTCCTTTAAAAACATTAACAGGTACAGGAACAAGTATAATATGTAATTTTTTATGTACGGACGGAGATATGAAGTAGGCAAATATAAATTCATTGTTCAAGGGAGCTTTTAGCTTTCCATTACATACACTATCTACTTACAAGTGTACATAATTTGATGTAATTGACCTATGTAATGATAACAGCCAGACACACTTGCTTATAATGTAATATTAGAATTTATTTTAATGTATTAATAATTATGCCCATTTAGTAAGTCTTTAATTACTACCAGCTACTACTACTTCAAAACACTCCTCTCAATAATACATGTTGTAGATTTATACTTATTTTATTTCAGATAACAATGGTAAGCTCTCCAGTGAAGTCCAAGTGCGGGTAAAGCGGTGCAAGGAGAATATAGAGCAGGATTCAGAATTACATAAATTGAGAGTCCAGAGGGAAAAAATATTGATAAAAAAAGAAGAAATATTATTGGAAAAAGAGTCACAGCAAGCCACATTTCAAATAGAAAAAAACAATTTAGAAATCAAGAAACTTAAGTTAGAAATAGCATTATTGGAAAAAAAAAAAATTAATTTATTCAAAGTCCCTGTAAAAATTGTTTTATTTACATGAAATTACTTAAATTACAATAATATACAATAATTTCAATAACTACCAGAAATACATTTCAAAAATGTCGTTCAATAAACATTCTCCTAAAAACTAATCCCTGTCTATTGGATGGATTGGCATTCCTTCTGTCAATTCTTCTTATCACCGGTGGTTCTATATTCTCCTCAATTTCATTATGCAAACGACAAATATTATACAAAATGGCTGTGGCTACTACTACATGGCATGTTGTTGTCAGATTTGTCGCTAGTTTTTTTGACAAACATGGGAAAATTCTTTTCCAAACACCTATAGTTCTCTCAACAGTATTTCTGGTCTTAATGTGAGCTTTATTATAATTTTGTTCAGCATCTGATTCTGGCCGTAGAACTGGTGTCAGTAAATATGTTTGGCAACCATAACCACTGTCACCTAAAAGCAAGCCATCAATTTCTCCTCCTTCCAGCTTTGCTTTTAATGTACTTGCTTGAAATATACGATTATCATGAACTGAACCTGGTCTGTCAGCTACAATGTCATATATTTCTAATTCAGGGCCGCACACAAGTTGTGTATTTATGGAGAAAAATTTTTTCCTGTTACGGAAAACTTCAGCAAAATTTCCTCCAGGGTTTTGGATAGCAACATGTGTGCAATCTATGCATCCTCTTACTCCAGGAAACTGCGCAATCTGGTAAAATTTTAGTTTTGTATATTCACTGTTTTCTGGGAATTTTATGTACCGTTTTATTTGCAAACTAATCAAATAGGACACTCTTTTGACGATTCTTGAAACGGTTGGTTGGCTAACACTAATAAGGTCGCCGCTGATAATTTGAAAACTGGCTGAGGCATAAAATCTGAGTGCAATTAGCAACTGGTACACTGGGGGAATTGGTAGTCCTCTTTTTGTAAGTTTCTCGAGATTGTGAGAAATTAGCGGCATAAGTACGTTTAATACTGTTTCTTTGCGAAATCTATATCGCTGTTTAAATTCCACTTCACTATAATATTCGAAAGGGTTCTGAAAATCTGATAACACGCCTTATTGTCACGCTTTCTTGGCGATTCACTTGTCCGTCCAAGTAATTATCAAATTCCTCATCACTACCACTCATTTTTATTTTAACTAGGTAGTACTAAAATACACAAAAGACAAACAATAGTTTATAAGTTTATATCATGGAGTATAGTTTATATATAAGTAATAACTTATGCTTTATTATTTTGAGGTTATGAATATGACATTTACGCCGACCCTATGCGTTCGTTAAAGTAGCTAATGGGTAACTTTAGCCAAGGGTGTCCCTAATTAGTTGCATAGTGTCGTCCAACACTCAAGTAACGTTTATGAAACAAAATTTCGTCCACTGTGGGTTAAAGCCTACTGTGCGTACGCATAGTATCGTTCTTGAATACGGGTGTAAGCCCTGAGTAAAGAACGCTCGTCGGAGCGGGCGGTGCGTACACATAAATTTTAAACAGCCGTCGCTCATGACATACGGCACGACTTTCATGCCATGCGGAACGCCCTTCGCTGCTGGACGCTCGAACAGAGCAGACACTCAAGTTTCTATACTAACGATTTACACTGTTTGTTAAACTATCCGCTTCTATTCTATCAAAGAAATTGTATTTTAGACACAGTAATAGTTTCACCTATATTTCAACTATTTTTATTACAATATGCACATAATATGATAAAGCCAAAGTATAAATTAAATAGTACGGGCAGCACATCAGGTACGCATATGGGTCAGTAGGTCGGCAGTGGGCAACGACACGAGGGAGCTCGGTACAAGTTTTATCATAAAATAAACCAAAAACAAACTCTACAACTTTATCTTCGGTAGTGTGCACTATGATATTGTAGACTTACCTAGTGACCTAATTGCGTACCCTAGTTTTAAAACGTTAATTATGTATGTTCAAACCTTAAAGTAAATCTCTCTTAACTAAGATTTAATATTACCAAAGAAGGGTACAGCCACTATTTTGTTAGTAATGAATTGAATCACCAACACAGAGTCAGACTGAATCGTAAAAAAATATTCAGTAAGCATCGCAGTAAGTTACAAGAAGCTTAATAATAGAGGACATCCACGAATCGACAAATAAGCAAATTAAATGCAACGTAATTCCTATAGGACGTTCTATCAACAGTAGTCTAAAGTAAGATAACAAGTTATAGTAAAGTAAAAATAATAATAATATACTGCTAATCTAGTGTATAAAAGAGTAACGTGTGTGTATTCGTGTTTATTTGTTTGTTACCGTTTAACAGTGTGTGCTGTTACTGATTTTATTAGTGTGCATGTACATATGTACGAATTTGTGTATGAGACTTGTCAAAAATGTGCATATTGCCTGATGGAACAGGTGCAATCATTTAATGTTATAAGTGTAAAAATGAGTGTATATCAACTGATACTAATTATTACGACCGTAGTATGTTATGCCTTAGTAATTAAAGGAAACCTGTTATTGGCCTTATTATAAGAATAATATTATTTAATGTAAACTATTTAGAACGCTGTTGGTTTCGAAATAAATTAAAAATAAAAAAGTAAATCAGCCAGCATTTCTTAGTAGTACTCGCCCAAGCTTTTCCAGCGTAACTTTAATAGAATTATGTTGCATTTACAACGATTGAACAGTAAACCCAAACAAAACAGTCCCAATAGCCATCGACTCCTATGCCCTTTCGACGTCACACTTAATGTGTCACTTGAAGTGAAATTTCTAGGTCTTTCTTCAGAAGGAAAACTCATTTAGACTAATCACATAGAATACAAGATCATTTAGGCAAGTATGCCTGAAGAAGAGATGAAGAAGAAAGAAGATGTAACAGTGAGACATGCTTAAGTACAAAAGAAGGATTTTTTTAAAATTTGTGTATAAATCGATTACTGTACGCATATTCTGTAAGAAAGGATTTCATGCGCATGGTACGTGCCAAAGTATGGCGCCAGATATTTATAAATATCGAAGATACTAAATTAATAATAAACCCAGAAGGAAGTGATTCACTAACCAGATGAAAACCATATTTCCCATCGTGATAATGTGTAATAAATAAATGGAAATCTTTGAGAGTGCGCTGTTTTCCAGGAAAACGTTCACTTGACCAGCAACAGAAGTAAATTGACCACTGAGAAAATGAAAACAAACGCTAGCCAAAATTTGACTCACCGTTTTTATTCACGGGAAATCTGTTAATCACAACTGAAATAAGATTGAAGTTTAGTTCACAAATTTTGAGCAATTTGGCAATGGCTGGACTCATTTATCGAGTATACAATTATATTTTGATTTTCAACTGAATCATGTGATTAAATATAAGTAGGTATCGTCGTGTATCGCGATCTTTGCCTTGAGCTTGACCTGATGGCCGTGTAAAAAAGACGTTGCTAACAAACAGTTACGTAATACTTGACAGATGGCATGTTCGTTACTAAAGCAATGAGAGCATAAATTGAACTTGCTTCTAATGCAGAATTTAACTCCTACACTTTTATTTAGCAGTTAGATCCGAGTAGTTTCTGTTCATGTGACAAGTATTTTTATCAGTTAGTACAATATATTAGATATTACGAACAAGTGTTGCTTTTTCGTATTACATATCTTTGCTATGTTGTTTAAAATAAGTTAGGCACCACTCATCACCACGATGCGTTCGCATATGGATATTGTGCACTATGGATTTGCGTTAACTAAACTATAAACACATAATTTAATGTCACACAAAACTCGTTTTATCAAACACAACATTCTTTGCATAATAAAGATTTATGCTAAAAGTGTATTAAAGTTGATATTACAGTTATATAATGCATCGGTAATATTATCATCTTTTAATAATATTTAATAATAATGTTTTATTGGCATAAAAAAATATTTAACTGTAATTATCAGGAAGTATGAATTTCAACAGATGTATTACGAAAGCAAAGAAGAATAAAACGCCGGAGTGCGGACATAATACTACAGCGGAATTTTCCATGGAGCTTTCTAGAACCCAACAGGCGAGCAGCGCCTTGCGACATCCGAATATGACGATGAGGTCGCGGTCAGGGTAGCCATACAACCAGTTAGTAACAGAACAATCCTAAAAGCTATTGTTTTACTTTAAGTGAAAATTGAAAATGAAATATTTAAACTTCTTTTTAATTTTAACTCATTAACATTATATCAATGAATTGTCTTGTACATCAGTTCCAATCATCCATTATAGTCTTGTATATTATCACAGATTTTTATACCAGTGGTGGAAATATGACCAAAATTCAAAAAAAAAAACATTAAGTTTGTAGAGTATGAAAGATTTTTTTATAGGATAGGGTGACAAACGAGCACACAGTCCACCTGATGGTAAGTGGTTGCTGTGACCCACAGACATCTACATTTATCCTCAATAAGAATCAAAATGCAGATGCGTCGGCACCCGTGAGGACTAAGATGGAATGCCTCCTTTCAAGTAAAACGGGTCTTCGGTTCTCTACACTCACCATACGAAACAAAGCAGTATCAAGCTGCCATTTTACGCTGGTATTCAGTGACAGCGTGGTCCCTTCCCGGTCTAGCAGATCCATTTGTGCTACAAGTATACTACTAATATAGCTGCAGCATGGCTCTACCACGTATAAAAGTCGTATATATTTCACTTTCAACTGCATATTAAAACACAGATATCTAAATTTTTTTTAAATAAACACTTTCTTGTCTTGACATACACTTCACAGACTATGAAAAAAGGAATATTTGTAACCACACAAAAATAAGTAGTAATTATTTTTGTGCCAACATTTTTAAATTCTTTGACTACAATCTCTACTCTGTGCGACTGTTTGACCGAAGACTATTATTTGCTAGACATTGGAAATATGAACGTAAACAGTTAATGAGTTATTTTATTTGATTTGATGCATTAGTAACACACATTGTACACAAATTTTAGCTTTCTGCACTCCTTCTCCATAAAAAAATTTTACTATGCCAAATCTCCACTCCTCCGTTTGCGT